CTTCTTCTCAGCAAGAGCACTCTGCCTCTTCCAAACTCCCCTTAGCATTGTTGTACCACCCTGGAGTCTGTTGACCACAAAGTTTGTTTACAAATACTATGGCAACCCCAGGAGCTCTGGCAAATCTATTGCCAGCAAATAAAGCACAAGGCTGGAATCACCAATGTGCTCTGGACTCATAGCCTTACTGATAGGGTTTCTAGAGCATCTGTTTTATGTTCCTGAGCAAGCATTTCATTGTGATTTGCAGAGTGTTTTATTTTTTCCTTTAAAGGTCCCATATCCCTCTCGTAAGGGACATTTTAAAAAAACGTTATTCTTGCCAGTAACCCCATTACAGTTTAGTTCCGGAGCTTTACTGGGTGGGGGGATTTTCAACTATCTTTCCGATGTTCTGGGTTTACTGGAACTGTGTATGAAATGTGAGTTTTTATTCTAGCCCTATCCTCTTTGCCTTACCTGTTTAGTTCAGTTGCAGATCCTGATATAAGGACTCAAGTATGAGAAGTTTTGGAGGCAGGTGATCCCATGGAACACTGGAGGAGAAGAGAGGAAATAAACAAAGAGGAGGCAATGAATAAATGGTGTACAGCTAATATCTGCTGTAACTGGAGCATGAATCCATTTGGAAACACAAGGAGTCAGTTAGAATCAGTGCCTCTGAGTTATCAAGCCCCAGGGGCAAGGGAGCCGAAAAATCTGTACACCAGCTTTCATCAGTCCCTGGTTGAGGACTACTGGGTAGTGGAAATGGAACTAATCTTCAGACACCTCTCACCTGCTGAAAGAAAGCCCTAGGGTGTGAGAAGTCTGGAACGACAAGAGTGAGGCCAGAGGGGACATGGGCAGGACACCAAGAGCGACCCCTCTAGACACCCTCCTCAGCCTCATGCCCAAGACTGGGGGTTCTGTTCTTTGTTTCTGTGTGTTTCCACCTTTCTTCTCCCAGACAGAATGACTGATGGTGACATGCACATGGGATTTGTCCTCTCCCAGTAACTGTGGGTCACATGTGATTGTATATGCAGCACCCACATGGGACAAGAAAGGATTAGGTCTTGCTAGTCATCCACACACATACTTCTATCTTTTATTTCAAAGTTCTTCAGATAGTTCAATATAATCATTCTGTCCTGTTGAGTCTTTGCTTCTCCAGGCTGAATGTTCCCTGATGCCTTCATGAGTAAATAGAGTAACACCACCTAGTTTTTGTACAATGCTTTAATTTCTTATGAAACACAGAGCATGGTCATGCCACAGCTACCACTCACTCTGAGCCCTCCCGTGTCTCCCTGTAATGGGGCTATGCTGCTGGCTTTAAATGTGGAGGAAAAGGCCCATGAGCCGAGGCCTCCAGAATCTAGAAAAAGCAAAGAGGCTGGGCACGGTGGCTCACGCCTGTAATCCCAGCACTTTGGGAGGCTGAGGCGGGTGGATCATGAGGTCAAGAGACGGAGACCATCCTGCTCAACATGGTGAAACCCCGTCTCTACTAAAAATACAAAACATTAGCTGGGCATGGTGGCGCATGCCTGTAATCCCAGCTACTCAGGAGGCTGAGGCAGGAGAATTGCTTGAACCCAGGAGGCAGAGGCTGCGGTGAGCCGAGATTGTGCCATTGCACTCCAGCCTGGGTAACAAGAGCAAAACTCTGTCTCAAAAAAAAAAAAAAAAAAAGCAAAGAAATGCATTTTCCACAGAGCCTCCACAAAAAACCAACCCTAATGGCGTTTTGACTTTAGCCCCGTGAGACTTATTTTTCATAATTATGTTGTTTTTAAGTCTCTAAGTTTTTGATAATTTGTTATAGCAACAATGTGAAATTTAAATAAATGGGAAAAGATATATTATGTTAGCATTAATCAAAATAAAGCTTGTGTGGCTATTTTAATATTAGATGGTAGATTTAACAGCAAAGAATACTGTCAGGGACAGAAAAGATCATTACATAAGGATAAATGGGTCAAGAGAACATAACAATTCCAAAACTGTACACATCTAATAACAGAGCTTCAAAAATACATGAAACAAAAACTGACATAACTACAAAGAGAAAAATTTTTAATTCATAATTGTCAGATTTCAATGTCTGTCTCTCACTAATTGATGGGAAAAACAGACCGTAAATAAAAAAGATATAGACCTCTTGAACAACAGTATCTGTCAACTTGTCCTAATTGGTATTTATACAACACTCCACACAATAACAACAGAATATACAGTATTTCCAAGTGCACTTAGAGCACTTATCAAAGTAGACCACATTCTGAGCAATAAAACAAATCTGTATATATTTAAGAGAACTATATTATACAAAGGATTTCTATTATACCGACTTCTAATTGAATTCCATTGTGGGATGCAGCTAGAATGGAGAGATGCAAGTATAGCAGTAGTCATCTGTATTAGAAGGAAGAATGTTTCCGAATCAGTGACTTCAACTTGCACCTTAAGAAATTTAAGAAAGAGCAAATTAAAGCAAGGAAGTAAAGCAGAAGGAAGTAATAATAAATATCAAAGCAAAAATCAACAAATATACAGCAGAAAAGCAATAGAGAAAAGCAATGAAAGCAACAACTCTTGCTTGAGAAGATAAATAAACATTGATGAATAAATAATAAAACTAATGAATCTCAACCTAGAAAGATCAGGGGAAAGTAGAGAAAACAAATATAATTCATATTAGAAATCAAAGAGATGACTGCACCTCAAATTCTGCAGACTTTTAAAAATAATAAGGAAATATCATGAGCAATTTTATTACAATAAATGCAACAACTTAGATAAAATGGACCAAGTCTTTGAAAAATACAAACTAATACAAACTAATACTAATACAAAGTCTTTGAAAAATACAAACTAACGATTCTTTCTGCACAGAAAAGAAACAACAGAATGAAGCAGCAACCTGTAGAATGGGAGTAAACATTTGCAAACTATTCACCCAACAAGGAACTAATATCTAGAATATACACGAAATTCAAACAACTGAACATCCAGAAAAAAAAAAATCCCATCCAAAAACTGGCAAATGCTCTGCCTATGCATTTCTCAAAAGAAAACATACAAATGGCCAACAAGTATGTGAGAAAATGCACACTACCACTAATCCTTGAGGAAAAGGCAAAAAACAACTACAGTGAGATATAATCTCACCCCAGTTAGGATGGCAATTATTAAAAAGACAAAAAATAACAAATGCTGGTGACAACTGGGAGAAAAGGGGAACTCTTATACACTGTTGGAGGGAATGTAAATTAGTATAGCTGTTATACTGTTATGATATAATAACTATTGCATTTTTGTCATTACTTTTAATGGCAAAAACCACAATTAAAAGTAATGACAAAAATTGCAATTACTTTTGCACAAACCAAATAGAAAACAGTAAAAGGTTCTTCAAACAACTAAAAATAGAACTACCATATAATCAGCAATCTCACCACTGAGTATTTACCCAAAGGAAATGAGTGTATCAAAGAGATATCTGCACCCCTATGTTTATTGCAGCACTATTTACAATAGCAAGATATGGAATCAACCTAAATGCTCATCAACAGATGAATGTCAAAGGATTATAAAACATTCAACTATAAAGACACATGCACACATATGTTTATTTTGGCACCGTTCACAATAGCAAAGTCTTGGAACCAACCCAAATGCCCATCAAAGATAAACTGGATAAAGAAAACGTGGCACATATATACCATGGAATACTACGTAGTCACAAAAAGGATGAGTTCATGTCCTTTGCAGGGCCATGGATGAAGCTGGAAACAATCATTCTCAGCAAACTGACACAAGAACAGAAAGCCAAATACTGCATGTTCTCACTCACAAGTGGGTGTTGAACAATGAGAACACATGGACACAGGGAGGGGAACATCACACACCAGGGCCTGTTGGAGCGTTGGAGGGCTAGCAGAGGGACAGCAGGTGGTGGGGGGGATTGGGGAGGGCTAATATTAGGAGAAATATCTAATGTAGGTGACAGGGGGATGGATGTAGCAAACCACCATAGCACATGCATATACCTATGTAACAAACCTGCAATGTTCTGCACATGTACCCCAGAACTTAAAGTATAATTTAAAAAAAAAAGATGAATGGATAAAGAAAATGTGGGACCAGGTGGGTGGCTCACGCCTTTAATACCAGTACTTTGGGAGGCCAAGGTGGGCAGATCACCTGAGGTCAGGAGTTTGAGACCAGCCTGACCAACATGGTGAAACTTCGTCTCTACTAAAAATTAAAAAAAAAAAAATTAGCTGGACATGGTGGCACATGCCTATAATCCCAGCTACTGGGGAGGCTGAGACACAAAAAATGCTTGAACTTGGGAGGTGGAGGTTGCAGTGACCCGAGATTGCACCACTGGGTAACAGAGCGAGACTCCACCTCAAAAAATAAGAAAAGAAAATGTGGTAGATATACACAATGGAAGACGATTCAACCATAAAAAAGAATGAAATCCTGTCATTTGCAGCAACATGGATGAGCCTAGAGGACATTATGTTAAATGAAATAAGTCAAGCACAGAAAGACAAATACCACACATTCTTACTCCTATGTGGGAGCTAAAAAAAATTGAGCTCATAGAAGTAGAGAACAGAACTGTGGTTATCAGAGGCTGAGAAGAATAGGAGGGAGGGAAGGATAGAGAGAGGGTGATTAGCAGACAGGAAATTACAGGCAGATAGAAGGAAAAAGTTTGTGTTCTATAGCACTATAGGGTGACTACAAATAATAATTTATTGTATATTTTCAAAAAACCAGAAGAGAGGGTTTTGAATGTGCACCAAAAAATGGTCAATATTTGAGGTTATAAATATGCTGATTACCCTGATTTGAAAATTGCACATTGTATACATGTACTAAAAGATCACTCTGTATCCTATAAATATGTACCATTATGTGTCAACTAAAAATAAAAGAAAAAATCTTATCAAACTGTACACTTAATCACATGTGGTTATTTTGTGTCGATTATACCTCTATGAAAGTGTGTGATTTTTTTCTTTTCAATGTGAGGGTTTTTAAAGCTTGAATTTGAAGGACCATCCAGTTTTATTAAAATCGAGAGCCACTTGAAACCAGGGGATGTGTCCTGTCCTGCATATTTATGTGCAGTGTGCAGAGTTCTGTCCTGAGGAGGAAAGGAGAGGTGGACAGAAAGGGAGGGCACAGGCAGCAAGTTTAGCCGGAGCTACCAGAACTGCTACCTACACAAAAAACTGCTTTCACTTGCCACCGCTCCCCAGGCAATACACAGGATACAAAGTGAGTGAAATCCATTTTCTTTACTCTTGGCCTGACATAAATATTCACTGGCCTGAAGCAGAAGAACTTGTTCCAGCTAGCTTGCCAGTTACACCATCCTGGCCAGGCCACACGCTTAGCAAGCTGTATTCCAAGTCACTGTGTCCTGGCTAAGCCGCCAAGGGCATTGCTTGGGACCTTGCTATATGCAGCCCAGAGATTTGCATTTCTTAGCTGGGGGACTCCAGCAAAGAAATCAGTTCGGGTGCCTGAATCTGACATGGAAATGTTATTTGATCCAGGAAGCTAATCGAGGTGTTACAACTCCTTTGCAACTGATCTGATTTTACTTTAGAAGTATTTTCCTCCAGCCTAGACTTGGCTCGGGTGGCTTAGAAATCAGGAGAACTGTATGTGGGTAAAAAGTAAGCAGGTCTAATGTTGACTGAAAAGAACCCAAGGCCTCTGTGCATAGGGATATAATAATTGCTCTGGGCGTCACGCCTCCCTCCATCCCTCCATCCGCTGGTCAGTGTGGAGTTTCCTTCCACTGGGGTGGGGAACAGAGCTGCTGGGAATGCCCTCAGAAATGCCATCACGGTTGCCACTGGCAATCCTTTCTTGTGCAATGTCCTTTCTCAGGAAGATGAATACAGGCTGCACATAACCAAGTGTCAATCAAACACTCAGCAACACCCGGTCTCATTAAGCAGAAACTAAAAGGACCCTGAGGAGAAATAAATTTGACTAAATCTGGAATTCAGGGGAGAACCCAGGAAAGGGAAGGAACTTCCTGCCGCATAGGGGCCACTTTCAGGAAAAAACCCTGAAGCCCAGCACATACATTTTCCTCCCTCCCAAATACCAAGGCTATTTTGAATTTCATCTCTTTGTCCATCTGTTGCACCAGCAAAATCCCTGATTTGAGAGCCATGGGCAGAAAAAAATGCTGTAAGTAAAGGTCTGTGCAGGACAGCATCACACTTGCTTCTTTTAGAACAGATGTGTTTGCAGAGAAGGAACAATACACCAGAGTTTTTCTAATCTATATCTGACTCTGATTAGTTGTGAAACCTCAAAACAAGAAGATTGGACTCTGGTTTTCAAATTGTAAAGTTCTATAATCCATGATTTAAAAAAATGCACCTCTGATTGCTCTCTGGAGCTCTGAGCTCTTAGGAAATCAGTCAGAATCCAGCAAAAAATAAAAGTTGTCCATGAAGGACAGCTGTTCTATTTTGATTTATTTTTGGGCATTTTATCTTTTGTGTAAAATACTTGGCACATAATGACAAAAGAATACTTGTAAGTCCCTTTTTGCAGACGAGAAAACTCAGGTCTTGCTATCAGTGGTTGAGTTGGAGCCTCATCCTAATCAGTTCAGGGGTAAAACTTAAGTCATTTTCGCTGCTATTTGTCCCTGCTGCCCTGCCGTTATAGTAGTCCAGAATTTGACCCATGGAATTGGGCAGAGTTTGTTCAGGTTGTAGGAATGATTCAACAGAAACTGAAAATAGTGTCTTTTGTTTACAACAGTTTGTGGAAAATATCAAGAGTGTAGGTAGGTTCTGTGGGCTACGCAGATAGATGCATTTTGTACCCCCCACAAAATGCATATATCGAAGAAGCCACTAACCCCCAATGGGATGGTATTTGGAGATAGGGCCTTTGGAAAGTAACTGGGCTTAGATGAGTTCATGAGGGTAGTGGCTCATTATGAGATTAACGCCCTTGTTAAAAGAGAAAGCGACAGGGAACCTCTGTCATTGAGGAAGGGAATATTAAAAATACTGAGCATTTACCTGAAGGCAAGTGTGTCACCAAAGAAACCTAGAAACCATTAATGAAATGTTGGTTATTCCCTGCAACCTGTCAGGTGAGGAGGTGAGGCTCATGCAGATTAGATGTGTTGCAGAAAAACAAGGAACCAGTATTTTCTTTGCACAATTGACTAGGAGTAAATAAATTATCACCACATTGAATGATGAAAACATTTTTCAAAAAGCTGCTGTGTTGCCCCTGACAGATGTTTTTCCTATTCTTTGTACTAGTTTCCGACCTTGAATGCATTATAACCAGCGACAGTTATCTTAAAGCTAATCAGAGGTCAGGAGTTTGAGACCAGCCTGACCAACATGGGAAACCTCATCTCTACTAAAAATACAAAATTAGCCAGGAGTAGTGGCGGCGCATGCCTGTAATCCCAGCTACTCAAGAAGCCAAGGCAGAAAATTGCTTGAACTCAGGAGGCGGAGGTAGCAGTGAGCCGATATCATGCCATTGCACTCCAGCCTGGGCAACAAGAGCAAATCTCCGTGTCAAAAAAAGAAAGAAAAGAAAAACAGATAACCAGTAGAAAAATGCTAATATAGGATAAATGCTTTTTAAAAAAAACACTGGAAAATAGAAGGGAAGCACAACCCATATAGGAAAAGACACAGTATACATAGCAATGAAAGAAAAAGGAAAAACATGTTTTAAAAAGAGGACATATATACCAACTATATCATACTCACAATAAAAATAAATAGCTTAATCTGCACTATTAGAGCTCGAGATTTTCAGAATATCTACAAATTCTACTTATATTTTATTTATCAAACATTTATCTAAAATGAAATCACAGAAAGTTTAGGAGTAGTAGGATAGGTGAAGATATGATAACTAAATGCAAACAAAAATATTTACTCAGCATCCATATGACATGGTAGAATTTACTCCTCCCCTCACAAATGAACAAGACAAAGAGGATGATTTATTTACAAAATTATTTATTTATTTTAAATTAACAGATAACATTGTATGTTTTTATCATGTACAACATGACATTTTGGAGTATTTATTGTAGAATGGTTAAATTTAAGTAATTAACAAATGCATTACCTCACATAGCAATGGTGGTGAGAGCACATAAGATCTACTCTCTTTACGTTTTTCAAGGATACAATATTTCATCCTTAACTGTAGTCACCTTGCTGTACAATAGAATTCTTGAAATTCATTGCTTCTATCTAACTATAATTATTATGACTGACCAAATCTCTCTCCTGTCTAACCATCCCAGCCTCTGCTAACCACCGTTATACTCTCTACTCCTATTGGATCAACTTTTTGCGCAGCACAGTAGTCCTCCCGTATACACAGTTTTGCTTTGCAGTGTTTCAATTACCTAGAGTCAACTATGGTGTGAAAATAGGTGAGTACAGTAAGTGTGTGTATACCACATGTTCTTTATCCGTTCAACCATTGATAAACACTTAGGTTGGTTCCATATCTTGGCTGTTGTGGATGGTGCTGTGATAATCATGGGAGTACAGATCACTCTTTGACATACTAACTTCATTTCCTTTTGATGTATACTCCATAGTGGGATTGCTGAACCATATGGCAGTTCTATTATTAATATTTTGAGGAACCTGTATTCTGTTTTTCACAATGGTTGTACCAGTTTACATTCCCACCAATGTATAAGGGCTTCCTTTTCTCCACATTGTTGCCAACACTTATCTTTTGTCTTTTTGATAATGGCCATTCTCACCGGGGTGAGGTGATATCTCCTTGCGGTTTTGATTTACATTTCCCTGATGATTAATAATGTTGAGCATTTAAAAAACATACCTGTTGGGAATTTGTAAGTCTTCTTTTGAGAAATGCCTCATCAGATCTTTTGCCCATTTTTAAATCAGGTTGTTGTTGTTGTTGGATTCAGTTCCTTACAATTTCCTTATAACTGCTTGTCAGATAAATAGTTTGCAAATATGTTTTTCTATTTAAAGAAGGTAATTTTATAAGAATCTTAATCATGATAATACTCACAAAAGCCAATTAAAAAGAAAACAAAAGAATTTTAATCATGAACCATTATGAATAGAATAGCACTCAGTTAGAGAAGGCAAAATCAATAAATAGGTGTGGTGCATCATGAAGAAAATAAGAGCACCTGTTTTGCAGTTTGACAAGTCAAATAATAAAAGTAAATAAATTGAAATAAAGGTCTGAATAAAACAGGAACGTTGAATAGCTATAGCTATAGTTACAGCCAAATTTTATTCCCTACAGGAAATGTATTATCCTTTCTGGAGCCCATTAAACATTTATAAAGATTGATCACGTATGGTAACCATAAAAATTATCAATAAATTCCAACTGTAGATACTGCAGAGGTAACATTCAGTTATTGGAACAAAACAAAACAAAAAATGTGACTAGTTTCCCAATTTATTCTATTAAGCCAGCATAATTTGATGGCAATCCTTGAGGAATGTATGACATGAATTCACTTAAAACATAGATGGAAAATTCTAAATATAGTATCAGAAAAGTTGAATTTAGTTGCATACTGAAAGAAAGAATGTACTGCGAACAACTGGCTTTATCTTAGGAACATAAAGCAGATTTACTTCCCATCTCTTATTATGGTATCTATAAATCAAAATAGAAAACTTCATGATCATACTAATAGAAGCTAAAAATGCATTTGATAATATTCTATAACCATTCCTGATAATAACTTTGGTAAATTAGAAGTAAAGAAAGCCTGCTTTAACATAGCGAACAATTGCAAAAAGAATGATTATTTAATCCTCACTAACATGCTAATGGTGGTCAATATTATTGTTTCTAATTTACAAATGATAAGCAAAGCCTAGAGATGTTACAACACATTCCGCTAGTAAATAGAATGGAAATCAAGCCAACACAATATTTGTATCAGTAAGAGTTCCACAGAAAAACAGAGCCAATAGGAGATATATACACTAAGAGATTTATTGCAACAAGTCCAGGCATGGTGGCTCATGCCTGTAATCCCAATACTTTGGGAGGCAAGGAGGACCGATCACCTGAGGTCAGGAGTTTGAGAGCAGCCTGGCCAACATGGTGAAACCCCGTCTGTACAAAAAATACAAAAATTGGCCAGGCATGGTGACCCACACATGCAATGCCAGCTACTTGGGAGGCTGAGGCAGGAGAAATGCTTGAATCTGGGAGGCAGAGGTTGCAGTGAGCTGAGATCTTATCAT